TCAACTTCAACAGTCCGATCTCACGTTCGACTTCTGAGCGAGAGGGTGGAACCAAAAGGACAGCCCACGGAGCAGGGCGATCACTGGCCGACAAAGAATCGAACAATTCTAGCCGATTAAATTGCTTTTCAAAATGCTCAGCCCAACGCTCCAAAGGCTTTGACGAATTGTGGATAGGCCGTCCACTCTGGTCACGTATAGTTTCACTAACACCAGGTCTCCTGTTGCGTGTTTCCCGTATCATACGGACTAACTTGCGATCGTTTCCAAGGGCATCTGCCGTTTCCATCTCTGACGCACGATGAGACCACCAAGATTCGCGGTCTCACTTCAGTCTGGCACGTAGTCTTGCCCAGAGCTCTTTGCCAGTTTCATTGTGTTCGCTTCCAGCCGGGATACTCCGGCGAGCATCGATAAGTTCCAGAGACTGCGAAGAGACCCAATATCCATGTTGCCCACTAGACATGTCACATGAGGATTTGTCTGCTGCTAGTAAGGTCTCGTGAACATCTGACCAGTGCCCATCAATTGTCTCCGTTAGAAGTCGTTCTTAACCGAATCATCGCTACAGTTTGTGGGCGCGTAGGCAGCGATGATGAATACACACCTGTTAGTCCCGCGCGACTTCGAAGCTTTGAACGAGCCAGCCAATCGGACCGCACACATCCGGCTACTGATTGGAATCCAATCAACCAGAGCAGCTACAGCCCCGGGACTCAGCGTAATGCCAACACCAGCTTGGCCGGTGCTCGAAGCTGCATCGTCACCGGATAGGTGCAATGAGAAAATACTGCTTGCGTCACCTGAAGGGGATCGCAGAGTGAGCACAGAGCTCGAGTCATGTAGGCAGGTCTCCGATATGCAGCAGATATCGATCAAGAGGGTCTCCAATGTTCGGGTAAGTGCTGCCTGTTGACCAATCTGTAGCACTATGCGTACATTGAGGCATGCCAATCTGAAGGAGGATCGAGGGCTCCAAACTGAAGCCGATGCACTGGAATGGACAGCTTGCTTGGACATGGGTTTGTCGACAAGAGAGGAGTGACGCTCCGCGTTCACATGTGAGTTGCAATTAGAAGATAAACGTCAAGCGAAGCATGTTGGGGGAGGGCCAAGAATCTGGGGGTTGAAAACTGAGGGGATAAAAGTGAAGTTGGAACGGGACGATAAGTGTGATAAAGTGTAAGAGGGGAATAAGAAGATGGGAAAGCTTGAGCAGTATTATCCAAACCCCTACCCACCCTGCTCGATGCAGCAGATAGGGCACCGTCGATTATCCTCTGCGGTGGCCAGAGCCTCAGAAATTTGTTTGAAGAGAGATTCATTGTATTGCCTGGGCAGGATACTGTCAGGTTGCCCAAGCCTAGTCTGGAGAACGATTAGGGTTCTCAACCAAAGCCTTTGGTTCAAAAACCTGACCGCAAGGCAGCGGGTTTGGCGTTGGGCTACAAGGAGTCCGTTTTAAGAAATAAGGTGCCACCCTCATTCCAACCCCCAACCTGGAGGACCAAGAGGCTGCGTTTGTCTGGCCTCTAACCATTGACCAATCTGGTATGAGTGGCACTGAAGGTGCAAAAGCACCACCCAGTATAGCTCAATGGATCACTGAGGCACACAAACCATCGCACCACGTTAAGGTCCAGCCTCAGGGTCCTGCCTCAAGCCAGGCAGCCCCTAGTGAAATTGACGGAAACCCGTCAAAACCCACCTGCGTCTGGCCGTGGTCGCAGGTGTGTATCCTACTACGGTCGCAAAACATAGATGAATGGTTTCCGTACCACAAAGGCTGTGTATGAAGGACCTAAATCAGATCCCAATCTGTCTCTGTAATCACATTCCCGAGCAGGGTCTGCTCGCCACTACCTTGTGGTTCAGGGTATTGAACCAAAGGCTCCGGGCGCAGGCCCTCAAGCAAACTTCCAAACCACCCACTGCCTTCTGGGTAAGGCTATTGAGCTAAGGGCTCTGGGCGGAGTCACTCAAGCAAATATCCGAAGCAAAACCACCACCTCGCGTGCGACTGCCCACCAATGCAATCGAATGCCTGCGCGCAAAGCACTCAGCTTCGGGTACGGGAACGTTCGCACACTACTGGACCGGAACTCGACTGAGCCCGCCGAGGGACGCACTGCACTAGTCTCTTTGGAACTGGCGCGCTACCACCTCGATATTGCGGCGCTCAGTGAGACTCAGCTCGCTGAGCAAGGTAAGTTACATGAAGCAGGTGCTGGCTACACATTCTACTGGGTGGGCAACGCCGCCTCAGCACCACGTGAACATGGGGTCGCATTTTCAATATCCGATCGCCTCTATGGCCAGCTGGTGGGTGAACCAACAGGCATCAGCGCGCGACTGATGACTGTTCGCCTACGACTCGGGAGAGGTAAGTTTGCCACCTTTATAAGCACGTACGGTCCGACCATGTGTTGTCCTGATGACATGCGTGCTCAGTTCTACACTGAGCTATCCTCCGTGATACGGTCTGTGCCAAGGAGCGACCGACTATTTCTGCTGGGTGATTTCAACGCGCGTGTTGGGCGTGATGCATCGGTGTGGACATATGTTATCGGTGCGCATGGCATTGGTTCAGCGAATGCGAACGGTGACAGGCTGCTCTCACTGTGTGCCACTAACGGCGTGACGATCACGAACACCCGGTTTGCACTGGGTGCGAGTGATATAGCAATTTGGACGCACACGTGGAGTGGTCACGCTCACCTGCTCGACCATGTCGTCGCACGCAAGTGTGACATGCGTGAAGTGCGTATGACACGTGTACTGCGTGGATCTGAGTGTGGCACTGATCACAAATTGGTGCGGACCAAACTGCACATATATTTTTCCTATGTTTTGCACTCGTGCTGTGAATCGGCATAAATTTAACACCCTCTTTCTCGGTACTTTGGCGAAACGTATTGAGCTTGAGAAGGCGATGGCTGCACGCCTGTATGATGTGTAATGCACAGCCACAGTGGGATGCCTGTGGTACCACATTCGCGACCAGGTGCCAACTGCTGCCGAGGAGATCATCGGGTTCGCGAACTGTAAGCGACCTGCTTGGTTTAATGAGAACAATGCGATGCTTGGTGCATTGGTGCCGGAGAAGAAAGCAGCATTTGCTGCACATGTGGCAACCCCAGTAACTTGGGGAAGAAGAGTCAGTTTCGAAAACTTCGACGGCGACTGACCCGAGAGCTCCGTCGCATCATATATGCATGGTGGACGGAGAAGGCGAAGCAGATGGAATGCTACACCGAACGCCGCCAACACAAGGAATTCTTCAACTCCTTGGAGGCGGTGTATGGACGGATATTAGAGCCGCTGAGGACGCTGATCGATGGTAGTTCAGGCGCTACCTGCACACAGACTGCAGACATAATGCAGGTCTAGCAAGAACACTCACTGTCTCTTGAACAACCGTTCACAGATTGAGTTGCCTACACTGAACGGCTCAAGCAGCACGATGTGAAGGCGAGTTTGGCGGACGCGCCGACACTGGATGAGACGCAGAGAGCACTTGCTCAGCTGCGAAACGGCAAGTGTGCCGGTGCCGACGGGATCCCGTCCGAAGTATTGAAACACACAGCAGACCCGCGTCGGTGACTGCGCTGCACCACGTGGTGCAACGCGTGTGGATTGAGGGTGAGATGCTCCTGAGCTGACGGATGCACTAGTGCTACAACCGTATAAGGGCAAAGGTAGCAAGCAATGTTGCACGAATTATCGTGGTATCAACTTGCTGAGTTGTGTGGGCAAGTTGATTGCTCGAATTCTGCTCAACCGCCTCGTCAGTTAGGTTTTGGAACCGAACGTGGCGGAAGAGCAGTGTGGATTCCGTTTGGGTCGCAGCACTATAGATATGGTGTTTGCGGGTCGTCAGTTGCAGGGAAGTGTAGAGAACGACACCAGCCGTTGTACTCGATTTTTGTCGATTTCACCAAGGCATTTGATACGGTGAACCGCGAGGCATTGTGGCTGGTGTTGGGTAAGTTCGGTTGCTCGTGTAAGTTTGTAAGTTTGATTGAATGTCTGCACCGTGGTATGCAGTTAAGGTAGCAGCTTAGCGGAGGGACCTCGGATGGCTTTGTAGTTCTCTCTGGTGTGAAGTAAGACTGTGCCAGCTCCTGCGCCATTTAATATTGATCTTCATGCCATGATGTGCTTTTGATGCGGCATGTGCTTACGGTGTTCATGTTGAGCCTCGTATTTCTGATGGGTTGCTGAACGTCCGTCTATTCGGTGTGAGAACCCTAATCTGTGCGACAACTATCCGTATGTTGCTGTTTACTGACGACTGTGCGTTGTTTGCACACAGCGCGGATGAGTTGCAACACACGACTTGTGCACTGGCTTCGACAGCGGCTAAATTCGGGCTCACCATCAACACAAGCAAAACTGTCTGTCTCTTTCAGCCTTCACCGGTGGTGCAATCTGCAATGGCACCACGAATTAGGATTGGTGCTGAAGTATTAGAAACCACCTCCCGCTTCTGCTACCTTGCGAGTGTGATGTCGGCTGACCAGCAGCTACACAGTAAGCTTCGTATCCGCTTCTCGAAGGCAGCGACGACATTCGGGAAGCTAGAGTACCGAGTTTGGAACAACCATCAGCTTACTGTTGGCACGAAGCTGATGGTGTACCGACCTATGGTGCTGTCCGTCCTTGTATACGGCATTGAAACGTGGACGATGTACCTGCGGGATGTGCGATATCTCGAGCGGTTCCATCAACTGTGTTTACGACGGATTCTGCGCATCGGTTGGTGCGACAGAGTTGCTGACACTAAAGTGTTGCGCCGAAGTGGAATGCATGCAGTGGACTGCAAACTTTTGCTGAGACACCTTAGGTAGCTCGGTCATGTGTGACGTATGCATTCGACGCGGATACCAGAGCAGCTGTTGTATGGTCAGCTGAGTATTTGGAAGCGGCATGCGGGGAAACCGGAGCTTCATTGCCAGGACATGATCTAAGTGAACGTCACGTTTTCATCTTGATTGCAGGTCATGGGAATCGAAAGCGGTTGAGCGGCGTGCATGGCGCGATCTGATCACGAAGGCAAGAGAAAGACCTCATGCATGCGGAGAAGTAGCGGCTATTGCGGAAGCGAAAGGCGCCGATGGGTTGTACTCCATCGAGACCGAGCGCATGGCGCTGCAGTACATGTGGTCGCGAGTGCCTGAGTCAGGCAGGCCTATTGAGCCATGATCGAGGCCACTCGGGGCAAACACCAAAACCATGACGAGTCTTTTTGAGGGCGTATGCAGAATCGGCTCTGCGTTTGTAGGTACGTTGCATTTGATTTACTAACCGCTTACCTCCATGCGGACTGGCTTTATTTCCGGTTGTGGGTTCGCTATATTATCCTCATGCTTTTGTATCCCATATTATTGTCTACATGAACTATCTATAAACTTGCACAGATCGTTTAAGCTAATCATGGTTGACTTCATTGACATTTTCTCGGTGGTGGCATTTTCTTAAAATATATTTTCTGACCTCTTGGACTTATCGGGGATTTGTTCACAACCGATTTATTTCATATGCTCACTTCGTGAAGAGTTATGCCACCGTATTTGTATACATTATTCGATTTACTTTATTTGATGTCGTCTCAAGTGATTGGCTGTTGCTTGATATCCCTGGTGTGACTGCACTTGATATGCATGTTGACAAAGTGCCTACCTGTCTGTTACCCACAACCTCGTCCACATTGGCTCCAGGAGACAGTTGATCGTTACTGGAGGAAACGAGGTGCACGGTCCTCGTGGCCGTGCTAAGCTCAAAGAGTGGTTCCATGTACATAGTGTGGAGCGGACCACGGTCCAGCCACCGCCTTATGTGCGCTTGATTCCCAAGTACAAAGTGCTTGTGTTTGCCTGTGAGGGAGTGCGAGCCAGCTCCATTGATGAAACGTGGCTCCAATCCATATGCCTCTTGGTCTTATTCTCTAGGGTTTACACTGGATATGGGGTGGGTGGATGGAGCTGTGAGTGGTGCAGCGCAAGCCACCCGTAGTCCCTTTGTAGGCTTAGGCCTCCTGTGGCTGGCCACAGTGAGAGGCAAATCCGAAACCGGATGCGGCCAATCCTGATAGGAAAATAATTTGGAATCACATAACTTGTTGTTGCTGAGTTTTGTGTACCATCTTTTATCATTGATTATATATTGTCTAGTGCATTTTGGAAGAACCGATGGATACATGGTCATTATCAAGTTCTGATCCAGGAATTTACTAAGTTGAATGTGCAATGTTCTTATATTTCTGCAAGACCTGATTGTGGCTGGTAGGCTATTCCACACGACAGCGTATCTGACGAGGAAGAACTTGGATCGAATGGCTGTCCTGCTTCTTGACAAACTTAATGTACAGGTCTTGTTGCGTATATTTCGAGTGAAGTAATGTTGCACTTTTAGTGTGCACAGGTTGGAGTATGTCTTTTGCTTGATGAGACTGTGTATCAGCATCAGGTTATGTTTCAGTCATCGCAACTAAAGGGGTTCGAGTTTTAGCTGCTGGCCCCGCTCCTGATAACTCAATGTGGTTGATTTACTGAACTAACACTTAGTGAATGAAGTTTGGAGGTTTTTCAAAGCTTTCCTGTCACCCATATGCATGTTCCCATAGATGATGCTGCAGTATTCAGGGACAGGAAGTGTAGGTATTTTGAGATGCTCTAGTCTGGCAGGGGTTGTATAAATTTTATGGCATATGTTAGCCACAGATCGTTTGGCACGTGCTATTTGGTACTCAGCTTGCTCTGAATAATTAATGTTTGAAGTGTATCGTATGCCAAGGTCACAGTTAGATAGTTTCACATAGATACGTTCATTGTTCAGTTTAACAGACTCTTTAGGGATCAAACATCCTTATGACATAATGCATGCTTTACTAGCTGAGTAAATTAACATCCATGTGTTTCACCATTTCTCAAGTGAATCAAAGTCTTCTTGAACGAGCAGCATTGCGCTATTGAGTTCATCGCGTAGAAATTTATAAACAATATGTCATCGGTGAACGAAAATGGTCTGAGATATTTTACGAACACCGTAAAATCGTTAATATAAAGTAGGAAAAGGGAAGGACCAAGTACACTCCCTTGGATGACACCACTAGTGATTGGACGTGCGGAGGAGTTATGATTACCCCGAATGGCTATCTGGTAACGCCCATTTAGGTATGATGTCAACCAACCAAATAGTGGGTCTCTGATTCCAAATGACTGGATTCTTGCCAGTAGCCGCTTGTGGGGCACGCTGTCGAATGCTTTTTGTATATCCAGGAACAGTATTATAACTGCATATTTGGAGTCAATGGCTCCTATGATGTAATCCAGGTAGTGCAACTACCCCAATGTACATGAACAATCATCGAGGAACCGATGCTGGGATTTGTTAAGTAGCCCATGACGAAGAACAAAGTCCATGATTCCACCTCTGATTATGCTTCAAGTAATCTAGCGATGACAAGAGTATGATGTGCAGGTCGATAATTGGCGACGTGCTGTTTGGGACCGCTTTATGACGAGGGTCAATAAACCATGTTTTCCACTAATTCGGAAAGTAGATAGAATCTAAGGAAAAGATGAACATGTTCAGCAAAAGCAGTGATATGTCAGGTCCACCGAGTTTAATAACTGTTGGGGGGATCTCATCGGAGTCTGGTTTCAGCGATGATTTGTTGAACTTCATAGCCTTAGATGGTCGAAAGAGAAATCTCAATGTTTGTTGTAAGTTCCGGGCAGCAAATTATGGGGTCGGTTTTTACGTTCATGGAAGCAGTGAAAAAAGAGCGAAACGCTTCTCAAATAGCAGATGGGTCGTTAAGGTGGCGACCCTCCTCATCAATGATCAAAGACATTCGATCGTTAGTCTTATGACGGAGCACTTTGGGCAGTTACTTTCTTTTAAATGTAATCCGCAAGGCCTTCTCCTCCTTTACAATCCCTTTCATTTGTGAGCGCTCGATGCAGGCGATGGATTCGTGTAGCTGTAATACTAGTGAGAAGTCTCTACTTGTCTGAATTTCCCGATTAGTTTTCTTGTTTTCAGATCACAGAGTGTCACTTACATTCTTAGGACCAGGACTGGCGCGTACATAATGTGAGACAAGTACAGTTGTGATACGATTGATCTGGTAGTAACACTGTTCCACTGCAAGGGGAGTACTAGTGGGGAGAAAAAAGCCATCCCAATTAGAGGATCGGATCAGCTTTCTGAAATGCTCCCAGTTAATCCTTCGTATAGTATGCTGGGTAGGTGTGCGTTTGTTTTCCAATTACAGCGTGCTTGTGTTTGTCTATGAAGAAGTTTGGGCCGGCTCTATTGATGAAACGTGGCTCCAATCCACATGCCTTCCGGTCTTATTCCCTCGGGTTTACACTGGATATGCGGTGGATGGATGGAGCTGTGAGTGGTGCAGCGCAAGCCACCCATAGTCCTTTTGTAGGCTTAGGCTTCCTGTGGCTGGCCACAGTGACAGACAAATCCGAAACCGGATGCCACCAACCATGTGGACTGAGATACTGCCAGGGCGCCCAGACCTATTCAGTAGAACGATTAGCTACTTTAACCAAATTCTTTGGCTAAAGAGCCTGTCCGCAAGACAGCGGGTAGGTGGGAGTTTTAGTTTTACTGAAATGGACGCCATCTCCTTTCTAACCCCCAACCTGCTGAACCAGAAGACTGAGTTTGTCTGACCTCTTACCATTGACCAACCTTGTAGGAGTAGCTCTCAAGGGGCCCGTAGGCACCACCCAGTTTAGCTCAATGGGTCATAGAAGTACGCATTCTGTCTCAGCACCTTCAGGTCCAGTCTCATTGCAACGGGCTTTTGGAGCGATACCATGGATATCGTTTCCTTTGGATTATTTAATGTTGGCATTAATGAAAGCATCTATGAACATTGAGCAGTCCACGCATGAATAGTTAACCCCTGCTGTTGGTGACGCTAGTACATGTTCTGGATCTCATGTTGTTGACCGTGCTTAAACTACTGAACCTGGTATTAGTGAGTCTGCAGATGCAAAAATAAACACCACCCAGCATAGTTCAATAGATCACTGTGGCACACAAACCATCGCAACACAGTAACATCCAATCTCATTGCGATGGCAGGCTGTGCTAAGAACTGGAAATAGACGTAATTGGTCAAGGGCATCTCATCGTGAGTAGTCAGGTGCCGGAATAGAAGCTTAATCGAATGGGTCATTTTTAGAAGGTTACCAGAGGACTGTGTCACCGGTAACGGCCACTTATTCCAATATTTACAGTTCAAAGTTACTTTGCCATTCGCTAGTGGACTTGTCGAAGGTGGATATGGAGTTGTTCGATGGAACGGCATCGAAATTCAAACGAAGGCAAATGCACAGGCTCTGAAGAATAGCTAGACAGCGGGTCCACCAAGGCTAATCCATTCAAAAAGGGGGTCGTTAAAGTGTTTAATTGGATAGCAGAAAACACAATGTAACTAGCGGATAAGATGAGCATTACATTCTCTTCAAGAAATTCTCACGGATTTTTGCTTGATGCCATAGAGGGTAATCAATTGGTTACATTGCATGCCACCATTTGTTTCACACTTTGTGGCGTTCAGCTACTTCTTGCATCGAGTTGGCCACAATAGCGTCTATAATGGCTTAATCCAATCTGAATGCATGTGGATGAAGATGGAATAGGTGAATGTGGCGCGTATGTTTTCGGTGTCTCGGTTGGTAACACACTCCTACATCACTGAGTTGTTCGGTTTGAGGAAGGCGGTTTTGACTTCTGACCTATCTGCCGAGAGTTGGTGATTTGAAATCACACGCTTCTTGTTCTTACGAACGTCAATCGCCTCCACTGAAATTGTAATGTATTCTGTGTTGCTAACTTCATCATGGAATAAACCGCGACTTGACGCCGATTGTCTCGCACTGGAACCATGACTTCGAGTAGGAGACCAGATGAGAAGTTCCCATTTCCAAAGTGTCCACGAGATGTGCGTTGTACGATTTATTTATGATTAAATCCAACATACAACGTTGCAATTCTGTTTGGAATTTCGAGGTAAACCTGTTGGATGAACTCGGTGATTCTTGACCTACCGGGTCATTCACTTCTGTACTCACCATTTTAATACAATGTTTTGTCGCATATTACCGGAAATAGGTAAGCGTTCTCTCAATCTCTGAGATGAGTCCGCAACAATCGAGGTAAAAGACAAGGCGACTCATGTACTGTTCGCACTCGAAGTGCATGCATGACTATGATATCAGTTTAGACCATCAGCAGCTGTCTCGTTTTCAA